ATATTTCAGTAAACAGTAGCCATCATCTTCAGTTTTAGTCGTTAGCAAGAGGTACAGAGCTAGGCAATAAAAACAGATGTAATCATCGCTAGTCATCTCATAAATACTTTTTTAAAACATACATTTTTTAAAAAAAGTTTTATATACCAGTTCAGGACTGCGAAAGTCTATTATCTTTCAGAATTAATACATTTCTCTTGGTTCCTTTATGTCTGTATCCCTGTAAAAAATCGATTCCCCCTCAAAAAAAAAAAAACTTTAAATCGAAGATTAAATGTCACAATTAGCGTTTTCAGTTCTAGATTTCAATGAATTTCCGGCATTGTAAGTTTTTTTTTTTAAGTTTCAGAACGAATTTCATTTTCTTTCTAGCACGAATACATCTTATTTACCGTCGTATTCATACAATTGACCAGAAGCCTTACAGAGAACAAAACATAGTATATAAAAAACTTTGACCTTACCTGCTCCCTAATGTGCTAGCAGCCAGAAAAAAAAAAAAAAAAAAAAAAAAAGTCATTTCATGTTATTCACCAGTTTGCCAGGGAAGGTAATCTCTCAATCTCTCTACCTCATAGGAACGGCTGCACTGGGTCAGATCTCTGTACACATTTGATACATATAAACAGTATTACCATTTACCTTTTCTTTCTTTTCTTTTCTTTTTTTTTTTTTCCCTGTTTTTTTTTATAAGAGGAAAGCGGTCAGATGGAAGAAAAAAAAATATTTCTCAGCTTTGCTCCCGACACGGCCACAAAGGAACTGAAATTCCTCGGAAGCCCTTCGTTTTTTACCTCTGGGTCCCCTTTGTAAAAGCAGCCGTCGCGACCAGCTGGACCGGGGCTGCCTTGTCCACGCGGCCCCTCTACCTGCGCTCTGCCATAAAACTCCAGAAACATTTTTTTTTTTTTTTTTCCCTCCTTTTCCCTCTGGCAACTTCTCTTGGTGTCATCTTAGAGCTGTCTCAGATTACACTGTTTGGGAGCTGCACTTTGAGCACTGTCTTAGGGCACCGCGCTGCCTTTGGACCCGAGGAGCCGGCAATATGTTACTTTTAGCTCCGCTTCCCAGCGCTTTTCTCCAAGGGGATCAAGTCTAGGATCAATTCGCGCAACCTCGGGGTGCAGGCCCCGCGCCGGGCGATTCTTCCTCGTGCTTCCTCCTGAGCCTGGGAAAGGGTGGTGCCGGGGCACGAAAACGTTTGGATATGAAACAGCAAATATGAGGCAGCCTTTTGCTAGTGTTGCTGCTGTGGTGCTGATGGTGTGCTTTTATGTGTGGGTTTTTTTTTTCCCTTCCCCACAGCCTGCTGTGCCACTACACGCGCACTTCATGGCACTCAAGCCTGAACTCCTATTTACAGCAGGAAAAAAACCTGCCCCGGGAATTCTGGCGCCTCGCAGGCAGTGCCAGGGTGTGCGGGGGACCCTGCTCGCCAATCGCTCCCCTTCCTCTCCCCGAAATGCCCACGGCCTCGGGTCGATGAAGGAGCAGTTATACTGGCTAATGTGCTTTTCTCCTAGCATTTCTGATTTAAATCATGCTCGGCCCTCCCCCCTTCCCACCCGCCATCCCATTATCCAAGTTTTGCATTGATTAACGGGAGGCTGAAAATCAGCGTATTGGAAGAAGGAAGCGTTTACCCGGAGGCCTGGGGTTTGATGTAGAAAAGCTGTACAGTGACTAGGTTCTCGAGGGAGATTGGCGAATTATACATATATATATATATGTTGAATCACGGACATATCTTTATCCAAATCAAGGCATAACTGGCTTATACAAAGAAGTTTATGATAAAAGACAATAATATAATGTCATTAAAAACTCTATAAAATTAAAGATCAGTTTGTTTGCATTTCTCCTGATTGATATGTAAATACAGTTTGAACTGTGTTTGCTCGGTCTCTAGTGCTTAATAAAGAGATGAATTCACCTTTCTGTGGAACAAGTAAACAGACTTTAAACTAAGCCGACATCAGACAAAGTGGAAACGAGTTTATTTAATCGAAACTAAATCTAGTTCAAGAAAGATAAGTCAGTGTACATAATAATCCATTACAGTAATTACACCCACCACCAAATATGTGTTTATGAGGTTGTCGAGACACAATAAAATTCATTTATTTCCCCCGAAGTCTACAATGAAAAGTCCCTAGCTGATTCTCTATTGAACTTGCCAACTCTTTTTTTTCTTTATTTTTCTTTTTGTTTCTTTTGTTTCTTTTTCTTTTCTTTCTTTCTTTCTTTCTTTCTTTTTTTTCCGAGCCAAAATAATGTTTGTCGGGGGTATGAATGTCTCTCACTTCTCATCAATTTTAGCTTGACTCTTTTTGGAAGGATGCACACATTAATTACATTTCAATGGGAAATGTCGACTTAGCCTCATCACTTTCTGCTTCGCTATCAGATATTAACTCCATAAGAAAGTAATTAAAAAATGCGGAGCCTCAACCATGCCCTACCGACGCAGCCTCGTCGTGGCCCTACCAGAGCTGCGCCACGTCCAAGCAATCGCAAATACTTGATGACCTTATTAGAAATACCAACACTGAGCCAAGAACTCCTCCATGCCAAGTCTGACACGAATTACGTGTCGGGAAATTCATATTCCCAGTAAAGAAAAAGAATACATTTATTGGTGAGCATTAGTTGAGAATGTCCATGTATAAAGTAGGACCTAAAATAAAGAATGAAAGGTCTCGAAATTCCTGTTGACATATGTGATGTTCTTTAGCGAGAATAAAGGCAGGGGAGGCAGAAAGAATCCGATATTTTTTATTATTATTCTATGATTTTCCCTTTTTCTTCATCCGAACTAGCACTCGGTGTTCGAGTAACGCCGCCTATCTTGTATAAATAAAAGACTGGAGCTTTCGAAAGCTGCTACTTAAGCTGGGGCTCGGTTTGTTTCCATTCCAGGCGGTTTACTTTTTTTAAATTATTTTTTTATGCGCCTACAAAAATATCAGTCATTCGTAATAGTTCTATAGTTTCAGACACTCTTGAGTGACCGTCGTTCCATGGTTTAACTGAGACGGTGCGGGGGGAAAGCAAAATCCTGCAGAAGGTGCAAAGGAAAATACACGATGAGGTATTTTAGGATGGGAATATTCTGATTTTCATTTGCACTCAAAGAAGAAAAAAAAAGAATTAAGAAATAAATATTAGGGCTGTTTTGTTGATTGTCCAGTACAAGTTCCTTGGCTTGAGCTTTTTCATCTTTTTACAGCAAAGTTAATGTCTCTTGCATCGCCCAAAATATTTACCTTACTAACAAATGCACTTCGATTTCTCGGCTACGCACGCACACACATATGCACACTCGTGCACACTCGTGCACACACTCCTGCACACACTCGTGCACACACTCCTGCACACAAAGTTTCTCTCCCCCTGCTCCTCCGCAGCTCCCCTGGGCGCTGCAGAGAAGCCCCGAACGCCGCAGGCTGCGGGCGCCAACGCAGGGGCGCGGGGGAAATTCAGCGCAATCTAATAAAGAAAGTTAATTCCAACCGCATGTCGTACACAATAAACTATCATTTTATTTTGATTATAAATAAGGTGACTGTACTTCCCTTAAAATACAAGTACATAGGAAAATGGTAGAAATGAGTCTCTTTTTGTTGTTTTTGTTTTTTTGTTTTGTTTTTACAAGCTGTTAAACTGGACGCTCTTTAAAACGGCCTCATATTCTGTACTGTCAGCAGGTTCTTCGTGAGTTTGTTTCTAGTGGCGTTAGACTTGTACCATATCCTCCCTGTTCTCCCTGCCTTTGGCATTTGAATTTCTGCTCCCGGAAAACTTTGCTTTATCTTGGAATAAGTATCCGAGGTGCTCCCCACCCTCTCCCTTCCGCAGAGAGGGCTCATCCCTTTGCGCTGTCCCTTCACTCTCGCTTTTAGCAGCCCCGCACGTTTCCTGCCATGCTTTTTTTTTTTTTTTTTTTCCGCGCTGGGGCCTTATCCTGTCTCCCATTAACTCCCTGGCGCAGTCCCGCTCTGGGAACAGAGTCTGGGTCCTCGGAAGGGTAGGGGGAGGTCAGGGTTTGGGAGCATCACGGTAGCATCTCCGTCAGGGGGAAAAAAAAAAAGGCGGAGGGCGGACCAAAGGGGGAAATAAAAAGGGAATATGCGTAATGTATATAATTTATTAGAAGCTTCTTAGGAACTATATTTAAGCCAAATATCTACATAAGTTACAACATGAAAAGGCGGCGTGCGCAAATAACAAACTGCCAGAGGATTTACGACGGGGCGATCAGTGTCCATAAAAAATGGGGGAGTGGTTTGGTTGATTGTATTTTTTTTCTTTTTACAACAAAATATACAGGTTACTAAAAACTATGGGTTTAGTCCAACTTTTGACAGCATTATACAGCTACAGATTCACATCAAACGTAAGGAGGAAAATAAAAGCTAAGCCTTTGATGACTCCACATCTCCCTGCGCTGGCCCTGGCGGCGGCGCTGCGAGAGGAGACCGGGTGGTGGGGGAAGCTGCTTCTTGTGTCTGGGTGACGCGAATGCTTTTTTGGAGAAATCCACCCCATCCCCCCAAATCTCTATATTTACATACAAGTCCTAGATGCTGGCAAAGTGTACATCTGAAATCCAAGCCTTCAGACCATGTCTAAGTAAGGTCCCCTTTTTGCAGATTGCTCCATTGGTATTAGTCCGATTTTTTTTAAAACACCCCATTTAACAACCTTGGGGGGAAAAACGAAAAGACCAAAAACCATCAACAGTAGCAATAGAACCAAAAAAAAAAAAGAAAAAAGAAAAAAAAAAAAAGAAAGTCTGAGAGTCTCTCCGCCTCTGTCTCTGAG